ATCCTCCATCCTTAGCTCTCTGCCTGAACAACTCAACAGAATAACCCACTATAAGGAACTTCAACTTTCAAGCAGTTCAGGGCTGTAACAGCGTCCACCAGGCTGTGTGATTCAATAAGTAAAGCCTCTGAGATGGGTTTTCTGGAACAGCCTATGTTTATCTTGGAAACTGGGTCAGAATTACACCGATATGTTGGCCCGGTGGCACGGGGTGGTGATGGTTGACATCCATAGCCGACATGCAGTGGTATCTGTTGGCAGTGCTGCCAGTGGTACTGACCTTGTTCAGAACGTCGCTGGCCTTGAATTTAACTCTGAGGTATGCACACAGAACAGAACTGTCTCTCTGCCAAAATTCTGCTATGTCACCAAGCAGACAGACTGCAGATCTGGCCAGACCTGAAGAAGTTTCCATGAGCCAATTCTTCAGACTACACAGATAACTAATTTCAGTTTTTTGCTTGAATATTTGGAAACTGAATATTTTCAAAAGAACTAATTGCTTCATGGGATTAAACTAAATGGTTTTGAACATCTGTATGTACAGATATAACACCTTACCCCACACAAAAGGCAATACTTTGAGCCAAGTAAATAATTAGGTAAATATAGATTCTAACACTGGTAAGTCCAGTGGTCACAAATTGATGGTTTCAAGTGGTCATTTGTACAGTAAATGGATACTGCATGCTGTGTCCAAGAGCAAAACTAAACTAATGATTTTGGTAGGGAAGGAAAGTATCTTCAAATTTCCATAATTACTCCTTCCATGGGCTGAATCGGTCTCCTTTTTATCCTCGCAGACCTTCGCTTCAGCCTTGCGTTCTCCAGCCCTCGTGAACAGATTCATTTCCGTCCCTGTTTATTGAGGGTCAACTTACGCCAAGCGTGGTGTCTGGATTTGAGGCCATGAAGACAATTCCACCTGCCACAGTCCTGTATGAAGGAGGACACTGAAACCCAGCAAGGTGACTCGGCTACTGCACATGAATGCAGGGCAAGACTGGAACGTAGGGAAAGACCACGGGACACCACCCCGTCCACGACCGGAGCCGCTGCTGCACGGTGCCTCCGGGAGGACTTGGGGCCTGGGGTCTGCATCAGCGCAGTGCATCGCCTGCCGCCTCTGTATGCACCCTAAGGCATCTAATTCACCCATGCAGTTCAGGCCAGAGAGGTGGCCCAGACCCCATCTGAGCCCTGCTTGAGTCCAGCCAGAGCTCAGATGGTGCCCTCCCAACCGTGAGGCCCTCAAACCCAACTTCCAAGCAGCCTGGATCTGTGCGAAGAGCCTCCAACCAGACTCCCTTCTCTGGGGCTCAGGTCCTATCTACAAAGTAGAATTAATATTGCCTCCCAAGGAAGTTGCATGCGATAACCCATTTCAGGGCAGGGCTAATCTGAGGGCTCCATCCCCTTGATTCCCAGGACTGTGCTTGGCCCTCCGTGTAGCATGAGGGGTGCAGCTCGCAGATGGGACACCGCCATGTGGGCAGAGAGGACAAGACCCTCTCAGCTCTTTCAGTGTCCCCGTCGCATCTCCGTGTCCCAGCTCCTGCTCCTCAGCTGGAGAGCAGCGCTGCTCCGTGTCACTCTCCAGGGTGATAAAACTGCTCTACACCTGTGCTCTCCAAGATGGAAGCCAGGAGCCCCAAGTGGTTGGTGAGCGCTTGACGTGTGTTTAGTACAAGTCAGGAGTTGAAATTTTAATTGCAATTCATTGTAATTTAAATCATTGCATGTGGCTGTGGCTAGTGAGTGTCCCGGTGGGCAGAGTGTGCCAGTTAGGAACATTCTCTGTCACTCTGCTGGCAGCCATTGAGACAGCACTCGGGTTGCTCAGTCCCCGCGTAACAATGGGCTCCACCCACAAGCTGGTGATTGTATCTAATGCCTCTTCTCAATGGGGAGACAGCTCCCTCATAGGTAACAGCCCTGGCAGGGGTCACTGGAAGGTGAGGAGGAAACAGACAGCATCTGAGAGTGAGACTGCAGCAGGCAGAGCAGAGAAGAGGTGGATATAATTACACATCCCAGAGCCCCGAGGATTAGAAGCGCTACAGAAGTGAATGTCAGGCAACATGATATTCTACAGGTGTGAAAGTAGCATTCTACGGAGCGAGCCAACACTCCCTAAATCAAAAATATCTGCTGCTGAGGAAAAAAGAGGGGAGAAAAGAAGAGGTGAATCATAAATTAGAGTCAAATGAGACAGAAGAGACAGACAGCCCTACAGATCAGACTCACAGACCTCACCACCCAAGGACGGAGGCTGTGCCAAGGGAGGTGTGATTTAAATCAAAACTACACGATAAAAAGAACGCCGTGGAGTGTACAGATGAGGAAACTGAGGCTATTTGCTCAAGTTCTTACAGCTTACGAGACTTGTAACTGATGCCAGGCACTGGGATTCCAGAGCCCACCTCCTCGGGCCAGCTGCACAGGAAGAGGTCTGAGGCTCAGAATGGCAAGTGAGGTCATCGTGGTGGTCCAGGGGCCAAGTCAGCATGAAAGTGAACACAGCTTCGAAGCCACCCTAGTGCCTGATGGACACGTGGGGCCAAGAGCAGAAGCAAGAGTACAGGCTGGGGATCTGACTTCAGCGCCAGGACGCTGGCTGGGGGTGGGATGAGTTCATGCAAGGCTCCTGTGAGACCACTAAGGGGCCATCACCTTTTGATCGTGTCCCAGCTGAGCACAGGGAGAGGTTAAAGCTGAAGATAAAGTATTAACTGAGGAAGAACTGCCATGTGGACAAAATCTCAAAGATTAGGAAGAGAAAGCAGCAGCAGCTAAAGTACTGCCAGGGAGAAGTCCGCTGCAGAAAACGGACAGTAATCACCCACACATGTCACTTCTGCTAGACAGCTGCACCATTTGTGATTTCATTTCACCTCATTCTCCCCACTGCAAACCTGTCAGGGAGGTGATCTGAAAGCAAACATGTGCCATTTGCCTTCCAACACTCATTCTCTCTTTTTCTAGAAAATCTGACAATTTGGGCTTGTCCTCCCACAGCAAAAGATCTTCCCACCATCAACTAAGTCTCCAAGCAGAGACAGTGGGTCATGTGACCTACCCTAAGCCACTCAGCAGCTCCCATCCCCCTAGCCCTTGTGATTGGTTCAGGGATAGGTGAAGGACCCAATCACCTTCAGAGAAACTCAGAGAGACTTTTGCTGGGAATTCTGGGACAAGGCAAGCTGGCTTTGCTTTAATTTTCAAATCTGATGGATATAGATGATGGACCAACTACCACCACCTTGCCACCATCCTGAAGTCTGACAGTGCAATAAAATCAGAGGACTCAAAGTAGAAAAGAAGCAATTGAGTCCTAGGCTTACTTTTGAATCTTGAATCAAAAATGTCCAAAATAAAAACCCACAACCAGTAAATTCTTTGTGGGATGTGTTACGTCCTTGTACTTGTAATGCAAGAATCCCTATCTGAAAGAGAATTGCTCCTCATTTTGCAGCTGAGGCAAACAAGCCTTTAAGAGATTGACTAACACGCCCAAATTCACGTACTTATTAAGCAATTTAGTCAAGATTTAAAGTCACATCTTTATTTCACCTTAAAAGCCGATGGGGAAGACTAAATGTATAACTCATTGCGATATGACAAATATTAAAATAAGGACACAGCAGAAAGATGGAGTGAAGGAAGGGACAGAGAGTGAAAGAATAAATGAGGTATACATTTCATTTATTCCTGTAGATTCTGAAAATCTGAGAATTTTTTCCAAGATGATCCAATCTCTCCAGTGGCTGAGAGAGATAAGAGACCAGGGTGACTCAACTACCTGAGTATTTTAAGCCCCAGCTATTTATACAGCACTAAAGAGCACTGTTTTCAAGCACGACATCTGTTCACTGATTTGCTAAAACATCGATATTGATACCTATAAAAATAATTTGGGTTTCATGGCTGAGAGCAATCATTACTTCCAGAAAACTAAAAGCAAACTTAGACCCACAGTTTTCAGAAGGCAAACAACATGGGTTACTCGAACTATTCCGCCTTTTCCCACTGAATAATCCACTTGTAAGAGGTAGGCGGGGAAGACTGCAGCATCTGCTCCCTGGCTGCCCTCAAGGAGTATTCCATTTTTGAAGTTCTGTCCGTGTTCTCAATTTCCTGCTAATTTTGCATTCTTCATAATACTTCTATTTATTTCCATCTATCAGTTAAACTACTTAGGTTATTTCAACAAAATCTGCTAGTGAAATTTATTTTTCTGGCTTCATAAGCCCCATGCATCTTGCGACTTCTCACTCCCCCTCACCCCCAGCGCCCCACATGTCCCAGATCAGAGACGTTGGGGTAACAGTGACATAAAACGGTGGACTTGTGTTTGCTGTTCTGGGTGTTTTACAGATATTAACTCATTTAATTATAACCACCCGGGCATTAGTGCTAGTTCTGGTCCCACTGTACAGCTAAGAACGCCAGGTCTCAGAGGGGAAGGGACTCGTTCACAGTCACAAAAGCTGTGAGGGAGGAAGGAGGACTTGGATGTAACATCAGCCCTCCATCTCTAAGCTTCATACTTCTTGGGTCAGGCGGTTCTCCGTGTAGGGCCCTATCTGTCATCTGAGGACTGAAATTAAGGAGACGAGCAGGTAAGTAGGGACAGACGTTGGGAGTGACTCATTCCTAGCTATCAAAATTCTAAGTGTTCACCCTGTAAGTTGGCAATTCCATTTCTAAGCGTCCATTCTAGGGAAGGCCTTATGGGAGTGGACAGCAAGGTATACACACAGGACACTTGCAGCCCTGATTTTTAAAGGGAGACACTGATAATAAAACTCTCCATCCTGGCACTCTTGTACCATTAAGGGGATGCCACTAGCCCGTTGAAATCACACGGTCCCCTTCCGTGTGTAACATGGGGAGTCTCCAAGGCTCGGGGAGAGGGGCAGAAAGCAGAATATTGCACATAGAAGGAGGCAGGGATTTGGGCACTAGGTCAAAAGCAACATAAAACCGTATGTTCATACCTGAAGCGTCTCCGCAGCAAGCAGCAGAGGGGTTTTTGGTGTTTGGTGGTGGCTAGTGATGGTCCCAAACACCACCTGAGAGACCAGACAGCAGACATTACAGTTGCCTCCGGGGCGGGCCAACAGCAGTGGGCAGGCTGAGGATGCAGGACAATGCCCTCCTTCATCCATGATGCCAGAGAAACTAGAAAAATGGCCTGCAGGGTACACGGGGCTGCAGGGACTCTGGGGCTGGCAGAGGGTACACAGTGACGGTGACCCTGGCGGGGCTTTGCTTTGGCTGCCCCCAAGGCTGACTAGATCCCACAGAGAGATGGCCCTGGGGCCTAGAGCGCCCGGCTGCGGAGTTCAGGACTGAGCTGGCTCCAGCGACCAGACTCCTGAAGCCTGAAGCTACTCCACGCTGATCGCTGAGCTTTATGCTGCGTTCCAGGTGCTTTCCAGGACTGTCTTGCTCTCTGGAACGACTTGCACAAACAACCAAGGGCCCGGGTCGCCAGACTCCAGGAAACCCCGTGCCCCACCCCCCATGCCCAAAGAGAGCCGGGTGTCGCTTTCCATCAGAAGTGTTCCATTTTCCGGCTCATCTGAAACTAGGCTCGGGCTCTTATTTTTAATTTTTGGTATTTTTCTCCGGACTCATTTTTTGCAGCCACCCACCAATAAATGCTGTTTTTAACAACAGTCCCTGATCTTCCTCGCCATCTGCGTCTCTTCGGGTGCTTTCTGCCATCTGGGCACTTGAGTGTGCTTTGTATACCTTGTTTCTTGCTGCCCGGAACTTGGAAGTCCGGCTGCGGAAGAGCAGAGTTGAGTCGGATTCATGTGGGGACGCTGCCCCCTGCAGGCCGTAGTCGTGCATGGCGCTTTCAGAGACAAACCCGGCGCCAGAACCCAGGCGATCACGCTAGATAAATCCGTGTCCCAGAGGCGTCAGGTAACTTGTCCAAGATCACACTGCTAACCGGCAGCAAGCTCAGGACTTGAGCCCAGGCTGTGTCAGCCTCACTGCCTCCAAGCGGAGAGAACTCGCAGTGTTTGTCAGCTGTCCCTGCTGGTACCTGCCACACACGTTCTCGTTTAATCGGCCTGCCCGCTGAAGGCCAGTGAAGGAAAATCCGCCTTGCCCGGCCTGTGGTCCTGCGGCCCTCGCTGGGTGCACGGCGCCGACTTCCTCCTGGGGTGCTCACACTGGTGCCCGGCTCGGGTCTCCCTGCAGGGACCTGGCTGCAGGGTGCAGCTGACTGACAGCCCAGCTGCCGCAGCCTCAAACCGCAGCAGCATTTGCACCTAGGCCATCCTTTCCTGGGGCCTGAAGCAGCCAGGCTGAGCCCAGGAGACGACAGAGGGCCAGGTGAGGCTATCTCAGAGCAGCACTGCAGCCTCCTTCCTGCCTGGACCAGAGCCCGGCACCTGCCATCCTGGCCGAGTCGCATCTCCTGGCCCGACCCTGGTGCCCTGGCAGGACGCCCCTCCCACACCCACCTCGAAATGGAGGTGCCACTGTCACGGGACCCAGCCCTTGTGGATAGACTGGTACTGCTGAGCAGAAGTGGACGGGCTATCATGTCTGCTCGAAGCCTATGTCTGGCTGGGAGTGCAGCTCGGAGGTAGAGACTTGAGTAGCATGGGAAAAGCCTTGGGTTTAAACCTTGGCCCTGCAGAAAAGCTGCACCAGGGCCCCAGGAACCCCTCCTGCTCCAGCCTCCTTTCCTCTCTGCCATATTCTCATGGAGCCTCAGGGCTCGCTCCAGATGCCAGACCACCACATTCTCACCCTTCCCAGCCTCTGGGATCATGAGCCGATTGTTCTTAATCAGAGACCCAGGCTGTTTTTCTGTTACAGCTGCACAAAGCCCAGGGAGACACATGAGCAAGACATGCGGTCCCCACCTCTGTGAATGGAGACCGTGGAGCACCAGCTCCCTGCCCTGTGGACCACGCTGGGGTGGGAGGATGCGCTGGACCGAGGCAGACCCAGGTTCAGCTCCCAGGAAGGGATTTCATCTCTGCAGTTTCATTGTCTACACAGTGGGCACGCTCGGATCTGGCGGTGTGGCTGTGACAGCAAAGGGGGGCACAAATTCGAGTCTGTTCACAGCTGACAGGAAGTGCGCGCAGCTACGCACGAATTCTGCTAGTGAGAATGAAAGAGACCGTGTTCCGGGAATGGTCCTTAAGGAACACACCGGGCGGAGGTCGGTCACCGCCAGGACTGTGACCACCACCACAGAGGATGGGATGCAGAGGCACAGCCTAGGGTCCCCAGAAGCTTTAGGACAGCAGGGGCTGCCGCCTGGGGCCCTGTTGCTGGGGAGTGAGAGCGGGAGGCACAGAAGAGGCGGAAGAGCCTCCCGGTCTCAGGCCCAGGCAGCTTGTGAAGGGGCACACAGGCACCCTCGGGCAGACATACAGAGGACACCACTCAGCGGTGTGGCAGGGTGGGGGGGGGGACAGGGCAGCGCTGTGACTGCCCAGTCCCGAGGGCACTTGCCAGGGGACAGGGCTGGCATGAGAAGAGGATGGAGGGAACGTGACCGAGGCGGGGGCAGCCGAAGGAGGGAGGTGTCAGCATTGCAGTCGACCGCCCTGCTTGTCAGCCGAAGTTCCCATGCTTCTGCCTCTGCCGGCATCTCGCTGCCCAGGCTCCGTCCCAGTGGAGGCAGAGTGTTCCCGTGTCCCGGGTTTCTGAGAGGGACAGAGTAGAAAGCAGGCAGTTGACAGGCTGGTCCCACATGCACTCGGGTCAAATGCCCAGTGAGGCGGACATAAGGTCTGTGCACAAGGCCGGTGTGAGGATTACATGTAGGTGGTGCAGGTCAACTTCAGACACCCTTAACCCCCAGGCCTGGTGACATTTACAAAACATGGACTCTGCGGATTTCTCTGAAAGCCAACCAGAGTGGGGCTGGTTACGGTTACCTCTGGGGAGGTGAGAAGAGGGAAAACAGGGACAGCAAACCTGGCTACAAACCACAGCAGCTCATGTCCTCAAAATTGCAAAACAGATACAGGAGGTGTCCAGGGGAAGGAGGGGGCAGAGTACAGTTCAGTCACTCTCTGAGGGGCGCGGGCAGGTGGGAAGTTATCCCTTCCACAAGCTCAGCTGCAGGTCCAAGGGCTCTACTCCCTGGGGAAAGGTGGGCACAGCCGGGGCCTTCCAGTCTCAGGGGCAGAGACTAGCAATGACCGTCAGAGAAATGCAGGGAGCCTGGTAGCAAGGCAAGTCTCCTCTTGGCAGTCTCTCTGCCTGTACTTACCCAAGCTGGCTTGAGTGTCCCAGAGCCTCATGTGTGAGAAGCTTGGCCTCCAGTATGACGGCGTGTAGAGGTGCTAGAACCTTCAAAAGCTGAGACCAGTGGAAAGTGGCCAGGTCACTGCGGACTGGCTGGACAATCAGGCATGACCTGGAAGGGACTAACGTGGTTCTCACAGCACCATGGTCAGTTCTCACAAGGGTGGGTGAGCAAGCGAAGCCACCTCATGTGCTTTGTCTCTTCCACATGTTGGTTGTTTTCCTTTCTGCCTCCCTGCTGTGTTGTGACCCAGCTGAGGGGCCGAGCAGAAGCTAGTACCTGCTCTTCAATCTCCAAAACTATGAGCTAAATAAACTTCTTTTCAGATATTTGGTTATAGCAACAAAATACAGAAGCACAAATACACATACCTGGCTTATAGGTAACACCGGAACCCCCCTCAGCTGGGAGATGATGAGTGCTTTGGCGGGGGCACTCTCAGGTGGCCATAGGACTGCGCACTCGTAGCCAGCTCACCAAGGAAGGAGATGAGACCCAGAGCAAGCCTGGCGAGTCCTTGGCTTTGTCACAAGGGAAGGAGACCCCAAGTGCTTGGTTTCTAGCTATGGATGGGACTCCTCTCACGTCTGCCTTTCCATGTATCCAGAAGGTGAGGGCTAAATGTTATGTTGGCCCAACTCTGGTGCCCAGATACCTGATCAAACACGAGTAGAAATGTTTCTGTGAAGGTATTTTGTAGATGTGATTAACATCTGTGGTCAGTCGATTTTAAGCAAAGGAGCAGGGACCTCATCCAATCCATCAAAGACCTTAAGAGCAAAAGTAAGGCTTACCTTACAGGAAACCTGTCTCAAGACTGAAGTACAGAAGTCCTGCCTCGGTGGACACCGAGGGACGTCTGCACTTTCTCTCTGAAGGTTCGACAAGCAAGTCTGCAGCAACACATTGACAACAGGCAGAGTAACAGGAGAGAAGCGTGAGCCAAGTTCTCTAACATGCACCTGGGAATCCGAGCCACATAAAATGTGAAACCCAAAGGAAGACCCGATGGTTCAGGCTTAAATACATCTCTTCCATAGTAGAGGGAGACGTGGGGTCCATGGACACTTTTAGAAGGGGCATAAATGATTTTACAGAAAATGAATGAACCCAGAGAACAGAGCCCTGGGACAAGGACCCTCTCGGTTCCAGGTGCTATTGTTCTGTGCGGTGGTCAGCAGTCCTTCCCGGGCTCTTGCTGTCCCATTCAAAGAACTGGACAGGACAACTGATGAATATCAAAGGTAAAATAAAGAAAGATATATGAAGAAGAAAAAGAAGTGTTCTGAAGAAAAGAGAATATTCACTCTGCATACAATATGGGCCACTGCAAAAACAAGAGGATGACGGTGACAAAGCCAATAGCCACTCTCTTCTATTTTTCTTTTGATATCAGATCCAGGTCTTACCACACAGAGCTTCAGAGCTGCTCTACACATGCATCCCAGCTGTGATTAGACAGCTGTCTGTGATTGACAGGTCATGCCTGATTGTCCAGCCAGCCTCCCGTGCCCTAATCTCCTGCCTCACAGGTGTTGATTTCATTCTCTCCTGTGAAATGGGTTTCATGTCCCTTGGTGAATGAACTTTCATAAAATTTTAAGGTAATCATATTCACTCTGGAGAATCCAGTGTTTAGTTAGATAGGAAACTTCACAGAGAGTTCTGCTATGCTTTGGGAGAGAAAGAAGACCAAAGATGATTGAGAGAAAAGAGGGTCAAGGAAAGGCCAGAGAGACCTGAGTTACGGAGCAGTTCCTTCAGCCTAGCATGTCAAATCACCACACTTTGGGGTGCTG